TGGTGCTTGATCAAACGAACCTCGGCCACGTGCATCTGTACAAGAAGTGGGGCGGTATTTTCAGTGGCTTCTTCCATTTAAAGGCGGAATTTACGATGGAAAGGCAGCCCATTAAAATTAAAGTAGAGGTGGTCAGTGGTACAGAAATGAAGAAAAACCATGAGAAACGGCCCAGAACCCGAGAAATGGGACCCCTTCCTTGCCCGTTGATTTCCGCATTGATGCGACTCTCATCGTGCTGCCCTCTTCAACGCTAACGCTCTCTCTGCTAAACGGCTAGAGACCTGCGGCGAGCAGTCAGCCAGGGGGGGGCTTGTAATATCGATAGTGCCGCCGTAATAGCCATGATAGATTGGCGGGAGCATCCTTCGCTGCAAGCAGAGTGTCGCTCTGCACTACCTCTGCTCACTACGGATCGACCGAAAAAGTGGCGCACATCTGGCCTGAGACTATGGTTTCAGGTCGAATGCGAGCAATTCATATGACCCCCTTCGTCATTTTCGCTGCTATTTTCGCACACTTTAGTAATCATAGATCAGTCATGGGCGCAACCGCTTAATACAAAAGAAACGTGGCCTTAGTGAAAAAGTAGGCTATTTCCGAGAACTTTACCGCTACCCTACCTAGAGTGTCTTTCCCTCCTGAGCATGAACTCGGAAATCGGTGCATGGAGACGAACTTCACCGTTTGCTAGAGGATTTAACACAACCACTAAGGGAAGCAGCTTCACCAAGAAGACCGATTTCTTACATCAGCAGCCCTCAAAATCCTGGATAGAGAACAAGATAGTAGTGCTCCGTGTGATAACCTAGCAATTATCTCGATTTTTTCTATATCTCTGCCCCGCACCTCACCTCCCTCCCCCTTATCCCGGCCACTATGCGAAATAGCACAAGCTCCCGAAAAAAGACGACGTATTTCATGCACCTATTATTTTTATTCATTACCATTATTTGTGATTTTTATTATCGGTCCTTATTTTACACAAATTTTCCAGATCCCTTGCCGACAACGGTGATGGCTGTAAACAAATGAATGCCATTTGCAAAGCATCAGCTGGCAACACAGCTTTCATGGAGGTAGCTTTTCTATCTCTCTCCCTCCTTCCTCCGTAGAAGGACTAATCGGAGAAGATGAGAGAAGGATCTCTTATTCCTCCCAAGGCAGTACCGCCCACACACGTATGTACGGCTAGTTCCATTTTTTCCTTGCAGTTCAACGACGGCGTTGGTGGTCCGGTAATCGACGAGACAGTCACGTCTCTGCTGACATGTGGTGACGATATGAAATGGTACTTCACCCACATGGGATCGTCGCTGTGAGTTATTTGTTCGAGCAATACTTTATTTCATAATCGGAGTGGGGTGTAAAATAGAAATAATCAAAAGTTGTCGAACGTTTTGTCTTGAAGACAGGGTCAAACCCCGGGATCAGCCGTACTAGTAGGAAGGATACCGCGAGGGAAATTGTAAGGTCCGTACCTACCTAGATCACTCCAGCTTCGTCGCAAAAATTGCGCGGTTAGGGCGCTAATCCTTACGGGCCTGCAACCATCGACCCCGTTCCAACGCTTCCCACCCACGCGAGAGATGGTGAGATCAGCGTGCATTGATGTAGAGATCAGCGTGCTCTCTCAAACGACGTGCTCTCTCGCGTATTTTGTCTTCTTTGATCGCCCTTTCTCGCCATCGTACCACATCCGATCTTATCGAAGGTTAAGGCTTTATTTCAGCGTCAAAGCTCTCTTGCTTTTTCCTCTCACTTTCAGCATCTGTGGTCAGCTAAGCTGTCACGACGGAGCGCTCCTAACACCATTTCAATCCCATGGTTGCCTTTAAAGGATAGTAGAGATCAAAACTGTTACGCGAAATACTTCCACATACAATTTGCTCGTAATTTATTTATTTAATCTAACGTTACCTTTTAACCTTATTTAAATACTATTAATGTTAATCTCCTTGCTTGAACTTAAAAATCGGTTATTTGAAATTTTGGCAAAATCATGCAGTACTCATAATCATCACAAGAAGGGGACCTTTTGTTTCTAACTGAGGATGTAGATGATTTCTGTGACAGGATTAAAGAGACATGAATCGCGATAAATAGCGTGTTCACGAAGAAGGACAACAGGAACTGGAGAATTTAGATCAGTGTTCAAGTAGGCCATAGGGACGTCCATGCTCCTGCAGCAAAATAGACACTAAACGACGTGCTATGGCGTCAAAAGTGCCATTGCCTCCATCGTTTGACTTGCAAATGTATCTCCGGTTCTCAGACACGCCCCCGTCGGACACAGAAGGAATGTAACAGTCTCCTTCATAGTCAATTTCCTTTCCTAGTGTACTGTTGCACCGGCCCAAAGCAGCAATTCTAGCCGATCGCCGTTGCCATAGAGCCGGTGCTCACCTTACCCGAGAAACCTCTGTGTTAGCGGTAACGTTCACTGCCGAAAAAAAAACTCGCGAAAAGATTACCATTTTTCGGGTTTTGACCACTTAGCTTGGTTTTTTCACAAGTGCAGCATTTGGCAATTCTATTTTCACGTTCCAATGCTACCAGGTTATAGCGATTGCTGTCTCCAAGCAAGGTGTAATTTTAGCGCAGAGTACGGGAGCTTGGGAGTGTCTCTTCTTGAAGATCATTAAATGGGGTTATTGGTTGGAGACGAAGGAAGGAAATCAGTTCCGACGGGTTGTGGAGGGAATGCAAACGAAGCCGCCGAAAACGCTACAGTTATTGAGGGCCACCATTTCATGGGGTGGAGGGTGTTACGACGAGGAGACAATGAGGTGGGAATGGGCGAGAGAGTATATCGTACACGAGGACGCACCTCCACCTGCCACTAAGGCCCCGTTCATACACCGCGGTTAATGCGATTTGGCTCTAATGCTGAAAGTAAAGCATAGGTATCGATCTGGAAAAAAAGCGGCAATGCGATTATGCGGTTTGACGATTTCGCGATAATGCTGAACGTTGTGGGTGCGTATCGACTAAAAAGGCTCCGCCCAATAAGCGTTCATCGATGCCACGAGTAGACGACAAAGCGATTATGCGATGAAACGATATAGCGATTTAGCTGTAATGCTGAAAGGGACAGATGCGAATCGATTGAGGTGGCTCCGTTCAACGAGCGCAGATGCGATTATGCGATTATGCGATGACGATTTGGCGAGTACATCGTTTGGCGATTTTCCAGTGAAGATTGGATACATATTGAATGATTTTTATTGAATGATTGACAAAATAAACCCGCCATAATTGGTCGCCTTCTCATGCGTTGCGGTG